AAGGAGTAAGGGTTGGGTTAATCGAGAATGTTTTAACTTCTTGATGTAGAAGGTAAGACGGAATATTTTCTTAGAAATCGCCAAGATATGAGACGACCAGGAGAGATCAGCAGATAGAATGACGCCTAGGTATTTAATTTCCGACTTGGTTTCTATTTCAGTGCCATCTATGTTGAATACCTCCTGAGAGCCAACCAGTTTGTTTGGATCGGATTTATGCCTCAAAGTGAAATTGACTGTGGTGAAATTGACGTGTATTCTATCTCTGAATAATGATGATGATAAGAAGAAGAAGAGGTACCTGCGGAATTCAGAGTATTCAATTGTGAAGTCATAATTCGGAAACTATTTCTATTAATTAAGAGTAGCTACGAATAAACAGCCACACGTATGGATTAAGAGAGAGCGAATGAGAGAGAGAGACAAGTAGACGACCATCTCTCATTTCACTATGACATTGTGACAAGTTACTACTTTGAGCATTGTCAAGTATTGATTTTTGCAGGGATTCAATTGTTTGCGAGTTTGTCAACTAGCTGACATCACTGAGAGAACCGTTGGAGCAGTGGCTGGCAGTAATCTCAAACAGACAGCTGTTTCTTCAGCCCACTTTGGAACTATCCTGAAGTGTGTAATCTCAATGTGACTGGTTAGCTAGCATCACTGTTTGAGATGAATGGTTTCCGACTGCGGATAATAAACAATGATTCCATCAATCAATCATTCAATCAATCAATTAATCAATCAATGCATCAATGAATCAATGGTATGTGGTATATTTCGCTGTGACTGCCTTACGGAGATGAAAATCCATCAACACCGAGTGATACATTATTACCGTCATACTGAGGCCAGTTCCCAGATAGACAGTCCAGTTTCAAATGTTGTGAAAATGGATGTTGGCACATTCCGACCACATACTCATACACAAACATACATACATACACATGAATGCCTACATAGGAAAGTGCATGTGAGAGTAAATCACACCTCATTCCCTTCAAACCTACTTCATTCTCTGCTTAGAATGACCAGTGCGTGAGAAAGACAGTCGTCTGTGAAGTGCAGCATATCTCGCAGACACTTCAATCGTGTAGATATTTGTGAAAAAAAAGTATTTTACAAATTCATATTGTGTTGGATGGTTGGAGGCAGTCGACAAGAAACCCTGTCAAATTCACAACTTTCGATTCACGCACACACAGACACACAAAACGCACACTTGGAGGAGTTGAAGCTACAACTCAGTCACATTTGGAAACCGAAATGATTCAATGCACAATCTGTCGTCTGTTTCATGCAATATATATATACATACATATGCATATATAAATATATGTGGTAATCAAGAGAGCAGACATAAAAGCAAGCGTGAAACTGTATACTACTGGCTGACTGAGATGAGTAGTATATGGCCTGCTTGACTGATCACCATCTATTTATCTAGCACATCAAGTGCATCTCATATTATGGTGATGTGAGTAATTTCGATTTCCAAAGGCGGCAAGTGTGATGAAATTCCATCTGCTCGATTTGTGTGCAGATTGCAGATTGTTAATCAATGCGTACATTGAGTGAGAATATGTCTTGAGATGTGTTGACCAGCTAGCCTGAGTATTTAGCCGGATATCGATCGGGTGGATTGAAGTGATATGACTCTTTGAGTTGAGTCAAACTGGCAATTACATTTTTCATCATGTCACTATATGTTGAAGATTAGATTGTTGGTGACAGTAGTGATCGTCACATCTCGTAGTTCTTGTATTCAACCTCAACATTGGCTAAATTCTGTGGCATTTCTAGTAGTGAATTCACTCTCACTCGAGATTTGTATTCTAACCACTATGCGTGTGAGTCAAGCACTCGACTGAACTCTCATTCACCAATGTGTGCATGTGCGTGTGTGGCGGGGTGATTGTGTGTCACACTTATCTACACTACTGTACAGTAGTGACATGGAATTCATGTGAGTGAATGAAGAGGCGAAAATACAACGACAAACGTATTAGTGATGGCTGTGGCTCGTCACTGGCATCTCATGCATGCATGCATGCATTGATAATCATCACACATGGAATAACCAAGACGCCAAAGAGAACCCTGGTGAAATGCATGAAATGATTAGCTTCATGATTCCTAGTGAAGTGATCGGAAGTGATCTGATGGCTTGTTTGCGATTGGCGACAAAGTCAGATAGATACCTGTCTAACGTACATACAATGAGAAGACAAACGAAGATTTGAGCAGGGAATATACTTCTCGACAACTGCCCCTTCCACATCAACACTCATATCTACATGTGATTTGTTTACGCTGACAGACTATTCGAGAGTAATCGTCATTGCCAATATTGGCGTTCTCGAAGGAATACGGATTTGTTAAGATGACAATGTGATTAGCACAGTTGAAGAGGGAAGCATAGTCTCGAATAAGCAGAAACATTGTGATGATAGTAAATAGAATATGAAATGAAATTGAGGAGGAGGAGACGATGGCAGAGAATTCAAGATTATTGAGACCTCGATGGCCAGCAGGATTAGCAGAGCGTGTGAAGCAACTTCTTCTTGTCGATTCCTGGCTCATCATTCTTCAGGTGGATTCAGGTGGACAGCCTGAGAAATATACATATACATATATATCAGACGAAGTGGTGAGTGAGGCAAAATGAAGATCAGTTGGTACACCGTAGATGACTTTGAAAGCCACCTTATTCACATCAATCTGATGTTGTATTTTCACAAGATGAGAAGGATGACAACTGGGAATGGAATTTCTTCATCCATCCATCACCTAACCAATCAGCATGGTGTTGTTGGCAAATCCGACGATAAACACGCCTAATTGTACGATCTCACCTCGGTGCGTAATGAGGAGAACAATTGGAGAACTGCCTTCACCTTCATCAATACCAGGTTCGTTATCACATGTCTAACATTATCATTATATTGAACATGCCTCATTCCATCACACATGTTCAAGATCATGTTGAACAGACCTGCTGTTTGACTCTTCACTAATCCACAACAGGCAACCACCACCACCACACAGAGCATAATGAAGAGCCGAAAGCGACACAAAATTCAAACTGGTGCACAGTTGTCTTGATAGCGATTATTGATGACAATCAGATCATTCGAATGACAGGGAACACTGCATTATGATATGAGGCATTATTGGTTGGTTCATTGATTTCTTGTTTGTGGTGTTTGTTTTCATCACATTTCACTTGATTTCATTTCATTTCAGGTGAAGTTTTGATGGCGCGGCTTGTGCTGCAGTCAAATGACGGTGAGTAGTCTTTGTGAATATGTGAAATTTCTACGCATACATAATGTGACATTGATTATCAGTTAGATGAATGATAGACATTAGTGAGATGAAGTTTCGTGAGGGTGTGTGGAGTGTGGTAGGGGAGGTGGAGAAGACAGATGTGTTGAATGATTGCCATATTACACAAAAATGTTACTTCTGTTAGAAAAACGGAGATATAAGAGCGGAGAATTCTTTTCTCAGTCAGATCTGCACTTCAGGCTTCACTCTAATTTACATAGCTTTGTATATATATATATATTATATAATAATATATATTAGGTAGATAGAATTTTCTGTGCAAATGGTTAGTTTTGAGTGTGGAGTTACTAGCTACTTTCAAGCTTTGTATATATATATATATATATATATATATATATATAGAAAGAATTTCATCAAGTAGTGTGAGTTTGTGGATCAAATGATAAAAATGGCAACAATGATTATAATAATAATAATTATTTTTAATAAAAAATAATGAGAGTTAGACTTTATCATGATTATTTTCACTACTACTATACTTATTATTACTATTGTTATCGCTACCGTCACACTAGTTACTAGTGTCCAATCAAACTACCCACTACAGTCCTACAGGAGGTCAATCGCGAGCCCGAATAGCTCCTCAGTGGTAACGTCTTTGACTGCAGTACTCACTGGGTACCGTGGGTTCAATTCTCAGAAGGGATTTGAGTTCCTTCAATGTTGCAGATACGCCTTGCTAACTGACTGGCGAGTGCCAACTAGCACGAAACCTAGGTCCCAAGCTTCCTGTGGCCGATTGCCTCCCACTTCTGATATCATCACACTAGGATGTGCACTACACTTTCATGAAACAAACTGTATACAATCGCAATTCTACAAGTATAGTATTATCTTATTACCATTATCTTATTTGTTTACGTTCCCAGTGGAACATAGGGTCACTTGAAGCTAGAGGCATGAAATTTCTGTAGCATTGGTTTTTATTTTTATTTTTACGGGATAGGATTGCTAGCTGCATCACGCCTAACCTTCTATCATTATCAGTCATATGACTGGCTTAGCAAGTATTAAGGTGGAGTGAGTGCATCAGCCGAGGATTGAACCCCAAATCATTATCTATCGGGGTTGGCAAACATTCTACCAGTGTGTGTGCCAGTGCGTTGCACACAATTAAATAATCTTACTTTCAGAGAAATTCTTATTGAATTAAACAAGTTTTATGCATATTTATTAATTAATTTATTTATTAACATCATAAACAAATATTTTAGGCTACAGAGAATAAAATTAGACGACATATACGCATAAATATTATCTATATATATCTATGAATAAGAAAGTTTCAAAAACTGCTATTATCTCTGGTCACATAATTTGGCTTTGAAAAAATATTACTGTAATGTTAAACTTAGCTTTGTATTGTAAACAGCCTTGACAGATAAATAACCTTTTACAGTACTAGTAGTAGTAGGTAGCAGTAATAATGATGATAATAATAATAACGAAAACAACAACAATGACAACAATACTAATTACACTGTTTTGATCCATACCGCAATGCACATATTTTGCTATACTTGGACATTCCTAACTAATACATCATTATCATCTTTTAATAAATGGTCCAGTCAGATTTGAGTGTAGGCTGAAGGTAGTCCATGCATATATATATACAGACATACCAATATGTACTTCACTTTACTTTGAATTACCATTATTACGACAATGCTGAACAGAAAATCTTGGTTCATCGTAATACTTGGCTTAATTTCCACCGTCGCAATTGATGCCATAGATTCAAGTAAGTTGAAACCAATATCATATCAATAATACTTACTGTTGTACGATATACTTATGTTATATATCTGAAATAAATCAGGATATATATGTATATGCATCTATATATATTATTATTATTGTTCCCTTGGGTTCCTAGTGGAACATAGGGCTTCAACTGCACACCTCCACTTGTTTCTGTCTTCTCCTATACTTTTCACCTGCATCCATGTTAGTCCATACGGTTTCAACTCCTATTCACACGATCTCCTCCATGTCACCCTAGCACTGACATCCCACTCGTCGCTTCCCTTTCGGGTTCCACTCGAGCGTTGGCCTGACGCGCGATGTCACACAACGGCCTCCTCAGCGAGTGTCCAATCCATCTCCACTTTCTCCTGCATATTTGTTTGGCGACTGGTTCTTGTTTTGTTTGTTCCCATACTTTCTTGTTGGTGATTCTTTCTGGCGGCCATCTGATCTTGAGTATAGATTCAGCGAAGACAGTTGTTGATAAAGGTCTGAAACAGGCTGTTGGAAATATTCTTTGTGACACATTGGCCAAGTTTTTTATCCGTATAGACGAAGTGACTTGATGTTTGTATTGAAAATCCAAATTTTGTTGTTGTTCATGCAGAGTGACGAAGATTTCCAGATTGGTTTCAGGTTGATGAATGTGTTTCTCGCCTTCCCGATTCTCGATTTGACATCTTCGAACGTTCTTCCTGTAGTTGAGACAATGCTCCCTAGATAAGTGAATGAAGTAAGCTCTTTCAAATTCCTCCCGTTGATGGTGATTGGCGCTAGTAATATAGGCGAGGTTATATATATATATATATATATATATATATGCTGTAATTATTATTGTGTTTCCGGTGGGACATACAACTTCAGTAGTACATCTGCATTTCACTCAGTCCTCTCCTCTGTCATCATTCCTGACTGCTCACAGGCTTTCATTTCCTCTTTTTTTACTGCCCCCTTCTTCTGGCAACTTTTCCACTTCATTCTCGGAGTTACGCCCAACTAGTCAGTCATATCCTATTCAGATGTCATAGGAAAAGACTGATCTGACTGGAGTCTGTCACTCAGTGTTCTTCTAAGCATATTTCCAATTCACATGATTGTGTTTCTTTCTCCATGTTTTTTACTGATTAAATCGACGTCGAGTTGCTTTACTGATAGAGTTCTACTGTGTTGCTTGTATCCTTCTCAAACAGTCGTCTGATTTTCAATATATCAAGTGAAGTAGGTTGGGAGATTGTGAAAGTTTGAATTAACCCGCTGGAAATAATTCGTTTCAGGATTTTCATCATGAGCTGACATTAGTTAGAGAACCATTGGAAAACCTGGGAGTACTGGACAGCTGTTTCGTCCTAGTTTGGGACTCTTCAGCAGTACGCACCCACCGGGATTCGAACGCAGGACCTCCGTTTTATGTGGAGACACCTTTTTTTATGGAATAATTCGAAATGGAAAGAGTTCAATGATGAGGTATATATGTAATAAGAACAAATTAATTCAGCGGAGCGTCTCTTTTCGGCGAATTCATTCACTTAGCTGTACAGTCGCAAATATATATAATTAATTTTGTGTGTGTGTGTGTGTGTACATTAGGTTGGTCAAAATCAAAATCAAAATAACAGTTAGTGTGGGTTGTTGATTACATCATCAAAATGATAAAGAAATTAAAATGTGTGATTAATAATCAAAGTTGTAACTAAGTGGGGTGAAGATTGGTAAGATGTGAGTAGGGTTACGTAATATAGACATGTTTAGAAAGATTAGATGTTAGTGAAGGAGTATGCAGACAATTATGAAAATAAACTAGATAATAGGCGAAAAGATTGAATGGGTTAGTTACTAAAACATTATTATACGAAAATTGCAACGAAAAAAAATTTGATAACAAAATGTTGATGACAGATAAACTTGAAATTAAACCCACGGTAGTAGGAGGGGGTGGAGAAGTTTCTTCTGTGTGCATAAATCAGGCTTTTCTATCCAAATCGCTAAGGCTTCGGCAATACAAAGTATACGGAAGCTTGTCGATTTTGGAAGGCTTCTTTTGACTTTATAGATGACTTTGAACGACTTCTCCTTGCAAATCGAATGACCAGTGTTGAGTATATGCTCAATAATTGCGCTCCTTATTGCTCCGTTGTTACCCTTCCGTAGCCAGGCGGGATAGTGTTCTTGAACTCTTTGATTATTAATCACACATTTTAATTTCATCATTATTTTGAGGATGTAACCCTACTCACATCTTACCAATCTTCACTCCACTTAGTTACAACTTTAATTATTAAGCACACATTTTAGTTTCTTTATTATTTTGATGATGTAATCAACAACCCACACTAACTGTTATTTTGATTTTGATTTTGACCAACCTAATGTACACACACACACACAAAATTAATTGTATATATTTGCGACTGTACAGCTAAGTGAATGAATTCGCTACCGAAAAGAGACTCTTCGCTGAACTAATTTGTTCTTATTTCAATGTCTGTATGGGTATATATGTAACGCGAAACATGTAAAAAAGAATTTAAATATTATAAATTATAAGTTTATTATTTATCAAAGTATATACGAAGTGAAAATAAAACAAGCAATAAAGGTTAATAAAGCAGGATTTAATGAATTCATCAAATTTCGGTAGAACTCGTCAGCTGAATACTCTACATACACGGATATATATATACTTTTGAAATTACATTGGGAGATATAGGACTGATAAGTAAATAAACTACATTGAATTAGTCATGCAGAAAGACAGGTGCGAATGTTTTCCAGGTCATGTTCAATTAGATAAGGGGGGAGAGAGTATGGGAGATCAAAATTAAGATAAATTGCATTACGCTTCAATTACATCACTTAGATAAACAATTAGACATTAGAGAATTTAACAAGAATTGCAACCAGAGGGATGTCAATAGTAATAGTTATAATAACAATAATAATAATAGTGTTGAAGTGAGTTAAGATAATGCTACTGATAAAGGATAGTTTTAAATGAATCAAGAATAATAATAATGAGAATAATAACAGTAATAATAAAAGTAATAATAATAATGATAAGAGGTAGAATTATAAGTAAAACGTATTACCATGGTAGATTCAGAGTCACGACCATCTCCTTTTGTACACAGAGACCTGGTTTGTAAACTCGAATTGCACAAGCCTCTGCAATTGCAAGCATCTTCTTGTTTCTTTGTCTGCTGACAATGGTGAATGACTTGACTGCGTCGATATCATGCCCATAATCCACAAGATGCTTTGTTATTGAGGATTTTGGCACTTTGAACTCAGCTGTTTTCAACCATTTGAATTGATGAATTTGATGAATTCATTAAATCCTGCTTTATAACCTTTATTGCTTGTTTTAAATTCGTATCGGGAAATAAATGTTTCCAATTCTTGACGAAGTGAAAAGTTATCAAAGTAATAAAATAACAAAAAAGAAAAGAACCGCGGACACCGTACACCACAGTCAAATTACCTTGGACAACACCAAGTAATCAGATCGTTGACCACTAAAAAATCGATTCTGTCCACATTATCTTCATTGCAAATTTCACCCAAATTTGGATTTTGACTTCTTTTGTGTGTGGAAGATAAGTTGTGACAGGGAAGACTAAACTATATGCATATGTGGTGTAGGGATAATTTTTTTTCTTCAGAGGTATAGCCAGGCTATCTATCGGTCATTATGCATTCACAGATGCAATCACTGTCATAGCAGGAAGTCTGTAAGCGTGTTGCTGTTAAGCTATACACTATGATGACTTTGAAAGATACTTTTTCTTCTCAAAATCAAAACTCTGCCTTGATAAAATATTCTGCATATACGCCACAATTGGCTGGCTACTAATACGACCAGTATCTGCTACACACCTGCAGAAACAGAGAGAATGCTAAAATTGTAAGCAGTGCAGTGTGAATGGTATCAGCGCTGGCATGATGATACTGCTTCATAAAAGATCAATGGAATTACTTGTGTACTCCGAGGATAATTGGTGTTGTCGTTCATCATCTTGACAAAGCCGTACTTATATTGTTAAATTAAAAATAAAACGTGTGGTAGGAGAAGCGTAAGAGCACCACGTTCGTTGGCTGGGACTGAACGATACAAATCTTTGAAAAGGCCTGTTAGAACCAATGCTAAACGGAAGGGCCAACGTCTTGATACCAATAAATAGTACAACGACCAAATTCTCCTAGGCACTATCAACTATCAAGAACACAATATTCAGCGAAGAGACTCTTTTCAACGAATTTATTATCAAGCTGTACAATCGTATATATATATGGGTATTTTTAAAGATAATGTGAATACATGAAATAATAATAGTATGAAATGCAATTAAAATATTTGTGATTATAATCATAGTTTAATGTCAAGTGGCAAAATAATTAATGTCGTATATAGAATAATACATAAGGTGTATAGAATTTTGGAAAGGGGTACATAATTATAAGATTAGTAGACGAATATAAAATGTTACATAACATGGTGTGAAATTTGATAAGATAGAATTCAATATTGTAAAAATAAAAATATACAAATTAATAATTTTGGGTTTAAAATGTCAAGTGGGTCAAGTGGAAAAGATTCAGAGTGAGGTATAATAATAATAACAATCGTAGTAATAAGGGAAAAGTACATAGAATAACTAAATAAAATAAATAAATCCCTCTACGGCCAAGGCAGAAGTAGGGATTGTACATACTTCTTTTGTACACAAAGTCTGTCTGGCTTAAAGTCATGAATTGCCAAGGCCTCAGCTGTCTTTAGAAGTCTGTAACGAAGAAAACGCGGAAAGTTAGCATGGATTCTATATATGATCTTAAAATCATGGTCAGGGTTGACAGAGTGACAGAAGTCGATCAGGTGTTCCAAAATAGAGCTTCGCACACACTTCCTTTCTCCCTTGTAAAACCATGCAGCTGGAATATGTTCTCGTATCCGTGTGGAAAGCGTCCTCTGACTACGGCCAATGTACCTTGCTCATTAGAGCTTGATAATAAATTCGTTGAAAAGAGTCTCTTCGCTGAATCATTTGTTTTGATTTTCTATATATTTACATAACAGATGCTAATTTTCATCTAGACGAAAGGTCATTTGACTCTGAAGTCTGAAGTCCACCCTCTTCACTCACAACTCTCCCCCTGCATCTCATCAGGTAAAACCAGAAGCCTATATAGAAAACTATATGCTCGCACCAGCAAGTACAAAAACTCAACCATACCCTACTTAGCTCGTGTTCTGTGTGATAAAGAAAGCATTAGGCGTGACACCTATAATTCATTAAATAGTCAGTAGTAAAACTGGACCTCGTCTTTCCAACTCATATCATTTATAGGTACAACATTTTCTTTCTTTCTTTTCCTTTTCTCTCTCTCTCTTTCTATTTCTTTTTTTCCGTTATGTGCTGCTTTGTTTCTTTCTCTCGCTTACGCCAGTAAATATGACAGCACCTACTTTTCTAACACCTTCAAACACTGTTCAGCTTTACCTTTGCTACCGACATGCCAATGTGTTGTTGTCATAATGAACTGAGATTTCCTTAATCTATGTAGAATTCTATTTATTGATAATGTACTAACTGGATGTAATACTGTAGTAAAAATGCTGAGAATTCCATTCTGTATCACAAGTACTGTTTTGGAATAAAGCAAATTATTATTATTATCCTTTACAGTTGTCTCCTTACCCTCAATTCTTTCTTCCTTCTCACAACTTCGCGCATATCTCAATCATCTCAAATACTCAACAATTTTATGCAACATAGTTGAATTATAAGTTAGTCATATCATTTCTCCTCTCCTCCTCCAACAACAATAACAACAACAGTAGCTCAGAAGTGAATTCATATATTTCCATACTGTGAAATACTGTCATCTCAGACAAGCCTTAAGGATTGCATTATATCACATGACTGTATGCAATAAAACAGCTCTCGTACTATACAGCAATCGAAAATCGATATATAGGCAGATTCTGATTGGCTGTTGGCTAGCTGGCTTCCTATTGGTCTAAAATATAAGTTAAAGCGGCAATCTTTTTATTTTGACACGGAAATGTTACAGTCAGTTTAATTTAAGGCTTACCTTACCATAATATAACGGCGTGTTAATTTTTTTTTGGTGTGAGTGTAGTGTGATAGTCACACGCTATTTGGATGCATTTGTGGTATTTAAAGTACATTGAGATGTATGAGAATGTCTAGCAAGTGAATATAAATTAACATGGTGTTGAATTAGTGTCAGTCATGCTGAAAACCATAACTGAGTTCTAGACTGTGACATTAAAGAGTCTATTTAAGAACAGATTCAGAATTTGCTTACTATAGAACGTTGGAATTATTTCAGAATTTTAAAGTGTTGATTTGTAGGGATTTGATTGGTTACAGGATTTTCATCATGAGCTGACATTAGTTAGCGAACCATTGGAAAACCTGGGAGTACTGGACAGCTGTTTCGTCCTAGTTTGGGACTCTTCAGCAGTACGCACAACCCGCCGCCGGGGTTCAAACCCACGACCTTCTGGTTACAAGGCGAGCTAGCTCGTATACCATTAAGCCACTGGGACCCGATCCAATGGTCCATGAATTCTAACTTCTGCCAACTCACGACATAGCGTGACCCCTAGCCAATGTCTTCGGCGAGTATTTGTCCTCACACCCGACCTGCTCCACCCTACTGGTCACGACTTCTCAATAGAACCCAAGGTCACTAGTGAGCATCTCATTGATATTCAAGTGTTGGTTTGTAGGGATTTGATTGGTTACAGGATTTTCATCATGAGCTGACATTAGTTAGAGAACCATTGGAATTTCAGAATTAGTGAGATTTAATTCAGCATTATGGTAAGCTTGGGAGGAGGAGCAGAACCTGGACTAAAAGTGCTGCAATAAGGCTGATAAGCTACTTCTGATAATGCGTAGAATAAGAACAAGGTGCTGAATTGGTACCAGTCATGATGATAAACCAGCGCACAGTTCCACCTTAAGCAAATAATCCGTAACTGTTCTGCCACTGTTTGATCCAACAATGGCAGAACAGTTAAGACGTTTAATTACTGAGGAATGTTACTATATTAGCATAGTATACGTGAATTGGCTCAATGATTGCAGATTTACCATAATCCTTAACTACCAACATAAAAACTGGGAACTGCAGGCTAAAAATAAACGTCATAGTAGCATCCAGTGACAAAAAACTGACCTACATACTCCAAAACAAGCAAAACGTTCAAAAAAACCTTTAAAATTCAATGGAAAACGAATTCACGAAAACATATAACCAGCAGACGCAGGAACCCATCATGACCTTGAAACTGACTATAGCGTCTTCTCCAGATATGTCTCTGTTATATATTTCATTGTTAAGTTGTTTCCCATTTTCTAGGTGTATTTGATCCGGGTTTCAGCATTGAAGAATGTGAGTTATTTGATTTATCGAAAAATTCTACCTCATATATAATGACGATGTATATAATTGCATACGACAATTAGTTCCCAATGATCCCTGAAATCACTTCTCATTTTCTCTTTGAATGTCAGTCTTACAGTAATGTCTCACCAGATTAGATAAATATTGGACAGGAATAGAAAAGCCATTGTAAAAACTAAAATCTTGAGAAACAACCCAATTAGTGGCGGAAATAGAGGGAAGATTGAGGACGAGTCTAGACACCTCACCATACAAAATCAACCCAGTCGCTACAGCAACTTAAACACAATGTAAAATTATCAATAATCAACCAATTCTCCTCTGCAATCAAACAGTCATAAAGAAGCAGGTTGGTGTGACCATTCAGGAAGCCATTGAATTAGTGTATCTCAGTTCAATGAGACCAAAACCAAGCACACAGTGACAGGAAAGGTCTGGCTGGTAGGACTCCACAGGCTGAAAAAGAATGGAGACGATACTGTACAGAAGTGATAGGATTCTGTGGGAACAGATGGAATGGAAGCGGTATCTCAGAACCCCGTTAACTGGAGAGTGAGTAATCTACTCCGATTACCCAGATGATAACTAGGCGCACACTGAGGGAGTGGCTGCATGACAATCAGGCCCGTGGTAGTCTAATTCAAGCTGCTAATGGAAAAAATCTCTGGAACAACCAAGCAACACATATTGTTAATAAAACAGGATCTAATGAATTCATCAACAACATTCAGCAGAACTCTTCGAAAATCGATGAATTCAGTATATCCTGCTCTATTAACAGAATTTGTTGCTAGCTTCACAGTTTCAAATCATGAAATGAGTGTTTCCAGCTTTCCAAGTTGCATCTCGCGGAAATCGCCTTCATGGCTGTTGTATGTGACTTCGTCAGACGTAGGCAGACGCATTCAGATGATGTCATTTTCTCAAAATTCCTCAACATCTCTGTCTCTCTCTCTATCTCTCTCTCACACACATTCTCACGGGAAACGATCGACCTCAGGTAGCGTGGAATGACCGGTACTACCTGTCAATAATGTACATGTCAACAAACACGACACATGACGTATCATCAGTAGCATTGCCATTCAACGACAACAGCAACAATAATGCACCATAAATCACGTCACCTATGAGATTGGCAAGTCATGTGATATGATGTGACGTGATGATGATGGTGATTGTAATAATCAATACTTCATTTTTAGCTATTCTGGTACCGGAAATCAGTAAGTCATGCTTTCAAACAATGAGTTCAATTTGCTTGTGTCTAATTATCATTGTTATCCTTTTTCTTGGATTTCGAGTGGAGTATAGTCATCGAGCGCCACAGGTTGTATGTCAGAGAGGTGTAGGGCACTAAACATTGACGTCAGTAAGTGTGTGAAATATCAGAATGGAGATCTATTTTAATAAGGAATAGTGGCCAGCAGTTTTGTGCTAGTTTTGGAGTCAGTGGCAGTAGTCAGTCACCGAGTATTCGACCGACACGCTTACACGTCCAGTATCGTATGCATCCAGTTTTGCCTGCCTTCGCCACCATTGTCTTTCACGAAGTAAGTTTACGAAGTGGAGTGAGCAACAGCAGAAGATTGGTGCAAAAGCACCGACTTCCCAAGGTGAATTGAAGTTTCTTCGTGTAAAGATGATGGGCGGTCGGAGGGACGCACCAGCTCATTCACTGAGATGAAGACTGGTTGTGCTTCCAAAAGAATCTGATATGTAAGTTATTATAACAAGGTGAGAGATGCAGCAATATCATTTATCAGTGTCACCGTAAAGCTGAGAAATGTGGAACTATGCTCGTTTGATGGACAGCCAGCCAAATATTGGAAGTTTGTTAGACAGTGTGAGTGTGTTTGCGGTGTCAAGCGTAAAGGATGACGGACAGTACCTCTCACTCTGATATCCTTGACATTGTGCTGAAGGCAGGTTCATGAAATGAGACCATCTGAGAGTGCAACATGTTCCCACCTTCATCGGACATTCAAGAACCACGTGATCTACTGACGAATGTTTTCGGAAGAAGACATGAAGTGAGCAGGTGATTACTTCGCGAGATGATGGAATAGTGGAAGACAGAAAACAGTGATGCTGAAGCCATGTCGAGACTCGCTATGAATATGGAGAACAGCCATACTGCTCTTGAGCAGATGAATCAGTTATTCGGCATATTTACCCCCATGAGTTCTCTGAAATCGATAGTGAGAAACTACGCGCTATTGTGCAAATGAAGTGGGTAGACACACACTGGAACGTGTTCCATGAACGGTCGTGAACTGACATCTTCGGTGTTGACGCATTTTGTATCTGCTCGCCCAAGTATTTTATTTAGAAGGTTTGGTTAATCGGTCACAAAAAAGTGACAGAAAACTAGTAAGGTATCCTTCTTCCCTTAAGGCTTCCATGATAGTCCGTGTCTCAACCAAACTTTGGTAGCTATGCAGTAGGACACAGAGATCGCTTTCTCGCCTTCAGAACACAACCGAATAATTTTGGTGGTTACAGATAAATGAGTCAGTTATAAAAGATATTGGTTACTCATAAATATAGTCACAGTCTACTTCCACAAGTCGGCAAGCTATTCCACAGATACTGTTCACGGCTGTGTTGTATCCCCACTGGCAGTTGTTGTTCACTGGTTGTTGAAGAGTCTCAGAAAGAGGACGAGATGTTGCGGTGGGTTCTGAAGAATACAACAGGGGAATTATCTGGGCGAGTGGACCGAGTAGAACCCAGTGAGAAGACGATGTGATTAACAGCACGAATATAATTTCACTGGGACGCGAAGGGTATATTTTCAACAGAGAGGTTGATTGAAATGGAAGTTCTGTACAATGTGTCCATTGTTAACATTCACCAAACCGCGTATAGATGTATTGCCCACGATTGCACAGTACCACTGGGAGGCAAGTTGGACAGTATAACTAACTGTATGGTTTGCTACTATCTAGCAGTAGACACACATGACCCTACAGCGGGTCAGTCCCAGAGTTCTCGTTTTACAAGATGACCTCGTTTACTATTTGGTAACTGAGACGCTTGTGTCTTACAACCGCCTTAATATTTCAAGTGATCTGAACAGGAAACTGCAGTTGGGTTAGTTCACGGCTGACATCCTCAACAGTGCATCCACTTTTACAAAACATTCACGCACACTCACACACAAGCATACACACACACACACCAAGAATCGAATCAACCAGAATATATAGAATGCAAATCTTTACTGGAAGGTGAAGAAATATTTGTTTATACTTTAGTGGTGCCAGTGTTCAAGTGGACAGTGCGCTCTGGTGACTATGACTTCACGTGTCACCAGCTATTCGAAAAGTTAGCCGGACATCGCGTGATTTCAACGGATACAGCTCTCTGAGATGAGTCAAACTGCGCACAACGCTGATGACAAAGCCGGCTCTCAGGTGCCGAGATCATCTCAGTCTGACTGACTGAGTAGCCAGAATTATCGGTTCATTTGAGACATTTGGTATACAACGACTCACTTCAATGACTTAATCAGTGGGGCGTACTGCCGATGATTCCCAAACTAGGATGAAACAGCAGCTGTCCAGTACTCCCTGGTTTTCAATGGTTCTCTAACTGATATCAGTCCGTGATCAACTCGTAAAATATACAACCTGACAACCTATATGCATCATAGATTACTAGGCAATGAGATGCTTCACTTCCAAAGTATATTTCAAATGATTTCTTAGTTTCTTAGTCAATCGATACCATTTATGTTCTTCACACTTTACTTTGGGTATGAGATTACTTACACACACCTGTTGACTGAAAAATTGAAACATTTTGCTTCATCTTCAAAGCTTTTTTTTAAAATTCATTTACACAGAACCACCTACTCTTCCGGAGATAGAAACTAAAGAAGAAGACAATATTTTTGGTAAGCAATTAACCTAATATATATACTGAAATTCGCGCATGTCTCTTCCCATACTTTAGCACACTGGATGAATCTCCAGTCTCATGCCATTGTGACTGTGCACTCACATCAAGTGACATTATCTCATTTTGATATAAACACCAGGCAGTCTATATGTCATCTGGAATACATCTCTGTTATTTGGTGATGGTTGAGGTTGTTGCTTCAGTGTTTTTGAAACAACATGGTACTGGGTTCGAGTCGAGTTTCACTGTGTGAACAGCATCAAACACACTGGAGATCTAATACATCCAGATGACGAATACCTGACTGGAAGAGGTGCACATGCACATGATTCCACCTCTGGTCACCGCCACCGCAATGAATAACTCTGAGTTACCATATGATATCTTAAATAGCAAGATGTGATATTGTGACTTCAGTCTTATACTGACTGACTGACTGACTATATGAACTTTACACAATTCACACTAAATATCCAATCCATTTTCATCACTCCTTTGTAATATCACGCTTTCTGTACACATGTTTCAGATGTTGAAAGTGCTATATCAAGTTATCTGGAAGACTGCTATCATACAGGTAAATGAAAGACAATGAATGAGCTGATTGTTAAAATGAAATAGATTTCAATATGCGAATGAAATGACTTGAACATTATCAAGTACTGGTTTGCAGAGATTCGATTGGTTACAAGTTTGACAACTAGCTGACATCACTGAGAGAACCGTTGGAGCAGTGGCTGGCAGTGTTGTCAGACAGTTGTTTTGTCAGCCTCATCAGTACGCATCCACCCACCCACACGGTGAGAAGCCATCATCTTCAGGTTGGTTATAGGGCGATCATGTAAACCACTCACCTCATGGAAGTAGATCCGTTGGCCGATGAATCCTCACTTCAGCCAATTCACGACATCTACAGCTCAATCACCAGTCAGTGTCATGGGCGATGAACTCTTCTCTCACCTGACTTGATGAACTCGAAGCCAGTGGTTACGACTCCTTACTACAAGTCCAGGTGACTTCATTTATGGGAAGTCGCCAGTGTGCATCAGAAGTTGGAATTCATGTGATGGCCATTGTATGTGGTCCCAGTGACAGAATGGTCCATCACCTCACCATGTGAAAACACGCTGGTGGCATAATACTCCTGTGGATGCGTACTTCTGCAAAGTCATACACCAGGGTGACGAAACAGCTCTCTGGTAGCATTCCATGTTGGCTTCCCAATGGTTCGTCAACCATCGATGTCTGTTAGTCATTCAACCTGTAAACAATCAAATCCTAACACAAACAACTCCACTTGAAATGATGATATCAGTTGGAGAATTTCAGCTAGACAGTATCTCCATCATTATTATTTCATATCATCATCTTTTCTACAATGCGTATCCAACACTGGACAGAAATGTGGCTAATTTTCCTATCGAAACAGCTGATTCTGTTCATGTACTTACTGACAATCAGTTTTAACCGACTTGAGTAAAACTATGGGGTAGAAAATTAAAACTGAACTATGATTATATGAGTGCATGTATTCAGTTTTCATTAATGTAAGATTCACGTGAAGTCTATATCTGAATAATAATGATAATAATAAGAAGAATAGAAAAAACCAGAATTGAGGATATTCAATTGTGAAGTCGAAGTTCCGAAATATATAAATAGAAGAAAATAAAAATTAAATATACAAAAGAGAAGAGAAAAAAACTAGCATATATTGTATAATATTCAAAAGAATAGAGAGAAACATCAAAAATATCTCTAGACGTGCACATATTACTCCTCCTCCTCCACTTTCATTCATTCCACGTCCTTTCTTTCCGCTTCACTTCTCTAGTGACAGTCACCGCGACGGAGACCACACCAACACAAAGCGTAGAGAAGAAATCTAATCGTAAGTCGACTTTCTCGCATTCACCTCGTCCTCTCCAAGTCTCTACACATGAACACATCACATAGCCACTCGTCAACAAGGCCTCTATCTGTCTCCATCTCTGTCTCTGTCTCTGTCTCTGTATAACTTTAAGGAATCAGTCACCTTCGCGGTTCACCTGCATACATGAAATTCAGTCGTAAGACAGTAGTATGTCTGTATGTCGATCAACACCTCTTGTGAAATCGGAGCTCACTAGCAAAACAACACAATGTAACTACTACTGAGACATTCAACAAAATTTGCATTGCATTCCACGCTTCCGTCGACTAAGTGTACTCACGTGAATCTTCATAATCCCTTATGCAAACAAACAAACAAACAAACACATGCAATGCAATGCAACTGGTTATCAAGGGGAACGAAATAACACTCACTGAACCCACTGTATCAACAATCATCCATACAAGAAACAGGTGCATAAAGTGAGAATGAATGTAAGCTAAAATCTTCAAACATACACGTACTCATTGAAATCCATTGGAATTCTATACTGACAGCTGATGACAAAGAATCTTCTCAAGTCGAGGACACCAAGGTAAACGCAGACAAAGTAGCAAACCAGACGTCAACCAATGGTAAGTCAATATTCTCCCACTCACCGAATACTTCGCTAATCTCTCTCTCCACGTGCACATATTACTCCTCCTCCTCCTCCACTTTCATTCATTCCACGTCCTTTCTTTCCGCTTCACTTCTCTAGTGACAGTCACCACGACGGAGACCACACCAACACAAAGCGTAGAGAAGAAATCTAATCGTAAGTCGACTTTCTCGCATTCACCTCGTCCTCTCCAAGTCTCTACACATGAACACATCACATAGCCACTCGTCAACAAGGCCTCTATCTGTCTCCATCTCTGTCTCTGTATAACCTTAAGGAATCAGTCACCTTCGCGGTTCACCTGCATACATGAAATTCAGTCGTAAGACAGTAGTATGTCTGTATGTCGATCAACACCTCTTGTGAAATCGGAGCTCACTAGCAAAACAACACAATATAACTACTACTGAGACATTCAACAAAATTTGCATTGCATTCCACGCTTCCGTCGACTAAGTGTACTCACGTGAATCTTCATAATCCCTTATGCAAACAAACAAACAAACAAACACATGCAATGCAATGCAACTGGTTATCAAGGGGAACGAAATAACACTCACTGAACCCACTGTATCAACAATCATCCATACAAGAAACAGGTGCATAAAGTGAGAATGAATGTAAGCTAAAATCTTCAAACATACACGTACTCATTGAAATCCATTGGAATTCTATACTGACAGCTGATGACAAAGAATCTTCTCAAGTCGAGGACACCAAGGTAAACGCAGACAAAGTAGCAAACCAGACGTCAACCAATGGTAAGTCAATATTCTCCCACTCACCGAATACTTCGCTAATCTCTCTCTCCACGTGCACATATTACTCCTCCTCCTCCTCCACTTTCATTCATTCCACGTCCTTTCTTTCCGCTTCACTTCTCTAGTGACAGTCACCACGACGGAGACCACACCAACACAAAGCGTAGAGAAGAAATCTAATCGTAAGTCGACTTTCTCGCATTCACCTCGTCCTCTCCAAGTCTCTACACATGAACACATCACATAGCCACTCGTCAACAAGGCCTCTATCTGTCTCCATCTCTGTCTCTGTATAACCTTAAGGAATCAGTCACCTTCGCGGTTCACCTGCATACATGAAATTCAGTCGTAAGACAGTAGTATGTCTGTATGTCGATCAACACCTCTTGTGAAATCGAAGCTCACTAGCAAAACAACACAATATAACTACTACTGAGACATTCAACAAAATTTGCATTGCATTCCACACTTCCGTCGACTAAGTGTAGTCATCACGTGAATCTTCATAATCCCTTATGCAAACAAACAAACAAACAAACACATGCAATGCAATGCAATGCAATTGGTTATCAAGGGGAACGAAATAACACTCACTGAACCCACTGTATCAACAATCATCCATACAAGAAACAGGTGCATAAAGTGAGAATGAATGTAAGCTAAAATCTTCAAACATACACGTACTCATTGAAATCCATTGGAATTCTATACTGACAGCTGATGACAAAGAATCTTCTCAAGTCGAGGACACCAAGGTAAACGCAGACAAAGTAGCAAACCAGACGTCAACCAATGGTAAGTCAATATTCTCCCACTCACCGAATACTTCGCTAATCTCTCTCTCCACGTGCACATATTAATCCTCCTCCTCCTCCACTTTCATTCATTCCACGTCCTTTCTTTCCGCTTCACTTCTCTAGTGACAGTCACCACGACGGAGACCACACCAACAGAAAGCGTAGAGAAGAAATCTAATCGTAAGTCGACTTTCTCGCATTCACCTCGTCCTCTCCAAGTCTCTACACATGAACACATCACATAGCCACTCGTCAACAAGGCCTCTATCTGTCTCCATCTCTGTCTCTGTCTCTGTCTCTGTATAACCTTAAGGAATCAGTCACCTTCGCGGTTCACCTGCATACATGAAATTCAGTCGTAAGACAGTAGTATGTCTGTATGTCGATCAACACCTCTTGTGAAATCGGAGCTCACTAGCAAAACAACACAATATAACTACTACTGAGACATTCAACAAAATTTGCATTGCATTCCACGCTTCCGTCGACTAAGTGTAGTCATCGCGTGAATCTTCATAATCCCTTATGCAAACAAACAAACAAACAAACACATGCAATGCAATGCAACTGGTTATCAAGGGGAACGAAATAACACTCACTGAACCCACTGTATCAACAATCATCCATACAAGAAACAGGTGCATAAAGTGAGAATGAATGTAAGCTAAAATCTTCAAACATACACGTACTCATTGAAATCCATTGGAATTCTATACTGACAGCTGATGACAAAGAATCTTCTCAAGTCGAGGACACCAAGGTAAACGCAGACAAAGTAGCAAACCAGACGTCAACCAATGGTAAGTCAATATTCTCCCACTCACCGAATACTTCGCTAATCTCTCTCTCCACGTGCACATATTACTCCTCCTCCTCCTCCACTTTCATTCATTCCACGTCCCTTCTTTCCGCTTCTCTTCTCTAGTGACAGTCACCACGACGGAGACCACACCAACACAAAGCGTAGAGAAGAAATCTAATCGTAAGTCGACTTTCTCGCATTCACCTCGTCCTCTCCAAGTCTCTACACATGAACACATCACATAGCCACTCGTCAACAAGGCCTCTCTCTATCTGTCTCTGTCTCTGTCTCTGTATAACCTTAAGGAATCAGTCACCTTCGCGGTTCACCTGCATACATGAAATTCAGTCGTAAGACAGTAGTATGTCTGTATGTCGATCAACACCTCTTGTGAAATCGGAGCTCACTAGCAAAACAACACAATGTAACTACTACTGAGACATTCAACAAAATTTGCATTGCATTCCACGCTTCCGTCGACTAAGTGTACTCACGTGAATCTTCATAATCCCTTATGCAAACAAACAAACAAACAAACACATGCAATGCAATGCAACTGGTTATCAAGGGGAACGAAATAACACTCACTGAACCCACTGTATCAACAATCATCCATACAAGAAACAGGTGCATAAAGTGAGAATGAATGTAAGCTAAAATCTTCAAACATACACGTACTCATTGAAATCCATTGGAATTCTATACTGACAGCTGATGACAAAGAATCTTCTCAAGTCGAGGACACCAAGGTAAACGCAGACAAAGTAGCAAACCAGACGTCAACCAATGGTAAGTCAATATTCTCCCACTCACCGAATACTTCGCTAATCTCTCTCTCCACGTGCACATATTACTCCTCCTCCTCCTCCACTTTCATTCATTCCACGTCCCTTCTTTCCGCTTCTCTTCTCTAGTGACAGTCACCACGACGGAGACCACACCAACACAAAGCGTAGAGAAGAAATCTAATCGTAAGTCGACTTTCTCGCATTCACCTCGTCCTCTCCAAGTCTCTACACATGAACACATCACATAGCCACTCGTCAACAAGGCCTCTATCTGTCTCCATCTCTGTCTCTGTCTCTGTCTCTGTATAACTTTAAGGAATCAGTCACCTTCGCGGTTCACCTGCATACATGAAATTCAGTCGTAAGACAGTAGTATGTCTGTATGTCGATCAACACCTCTTGTGAAATCGAAGCTCACTAGCAAAACAACACAATGTAACTACTACTGAGACATTCAACAAAATTTGCATTGCATTCCACGCTTCCGTCGACTAAGTGTACTCACGTGAATCTTCATAATCCCTTATGCAAACAAACAAACAAACAAACACATGCAATGCAATGCAACTGGTTATCAAGGGGAACGAAATAACACTCACTGAACCCACTGTATCAACAATCATCCATACAAGAAACAGGTGCATAAAGTGAGAATGAATGTAAGCTAAAATCTTCAAACATACACGTACTCATTGAAATCCATTGGAATTCTATACTGACAGCTGATGACAAAGAATCTTCTCAAGTCGAGGACACCAAGGTAAACGCAGACAAAGTAGCAAACCAGACGTCAACCAATGGTAAGTCAATATTCTCCCACTCACCGAATACTTCGCTAATCTCTCTCTCCACGTGCACATATTACTCCTCCTCCTCCTCCACTTTCATTCATTCCACGTCCCTTCTTTCCGCTTCTCTTCTCTAGTGACAGTCACCACGACGGAGACCACACCAACAGAAAGCGTAGAGAAGAAATCTAATCGTAAGTCGACTTTCTCGCATTCACCTCGTCCTCTCCAAGTCTCTACACATGAACACATCACATAGCCACTCGTCAACAAGGCCTCTATCTGTCTCCATCTCTGTCTCTGTCTCTGTCTCTGTATAACCTTAAGGAATCAGTCACCTTCGCGGTTCACCTGCATACATGAAATTCAGTCGTAAGACAGTAGTATGTCTGTATGTCGATCAACACCTCTTGTGAAATCG